TGCTGTACAGGTGCTCAGGTGCACTGTAATACAGCTGCACTGCTGTACAGGGGCTCAGGTGCACTGTAATACAGCTGTACTGCTGTACAGGTGCTCAGGTGCACTGTAATACAGCTGTACTGCTGTACAGGTGCTCAGGTGCACTGTAATACAGCTGCACTGCTGTACAGGGGCTCAGGTGCACTGTAATAATCACATAAAAACGCATTTTTTTTCGCCCTCTTCTTCTCTTTTTTCCTTCTCGTTCTCATCCCTATTTTTACAACGCTTCTCTTTAACTTCACTTCTTGTTCTTTGTTTGTTTGTCTGTTTGCTACAAATCTTATAATCGCTATTTAACACACTTCTACCTCTCCAATCGATCTGAAATTTTACACACTTGTGTAAAGTTGGAGACAATGCATAAATCAATTGACAGAAGAAATAATTTTACAAATTTTGAATTTTTCTTCACCTGCATAAATAAATTTTTAACAATTAGTTTTTTAATATTTCATAATAAAGCTAGACATTCATTGTACATCTGTAACATCAGAGACACTGAATTCTTTATAAGCGTTGTGTTTAAAATGTAATTTTTAAACACATATTATTCTCTCTGCCATTGTCGCCCCTCCTCTTTCCAACGCTAATGTTGCCTACCCTCTCTGTTTCTTTTCCTTCCATTCTTTTTTTCCTCTCTTTCGCCCTTTTTCTCTCTCATTCCATTTCTCTCTCTTCTTTCAATATTTGTTATGCTTTTCCACACTCTCATTTCCTCTCTCTCTCCCTCTCCCTCTCTCCCTCAGTTCTGTGGAGCAACAGAGTGAGAGAGAGGGAAGGGGGGAGAGCCCCCGCGGGGGGAGTTTGGGGGGCTAATATGTGCGGAATATTGGAAAAGCTTCTGCCACGTTCACGCATCGATAATTATAACAAAATATAAACTAGCTCATAGTTCTTTGTAGTTACCGAGTAGTTTTATATTATTTAACTAGTGCAAAACAACTTCTTTCTCTAATGATCAATAAAATATGAAAAGAACGTAACGTTGAGCCGTAGTTTTGAAGTATGCAATTAACGGCAATGAAGTATAAAGAGTTGAGAATGGGGGGTGGGCGTGCCAACGGGGGCGGGGGAGGGGGAAATATATTTTTGTATGGCCTCACTGTTCGCTGCGTTCACGTGAACGAATTAAATTACAGGATACGATGTCTTGACGATCGTTCAGCGCATGTTTCTACAGTCAGTTTTAAGTGAAATATTGCTACAACAATTTTTATTTATTTTTCTGCAAAATTCATGCATCTTCAAGATAGTCAAAGTTTAATGTTGAAATAATGTGACGCAGGGACCGCGACGTGGACATGAAACACACAAGCCTTGCCCGACGTATCCGATGACGGCCGCAGAGCTGCTGTAAATTGTGCAGAATACCGGCCAAACCTAGCAGAATACCGGCCAAACCTAGCAGAATACCGGCCGAACCTAGCAGAATACCGGCCGAACCTAGCAGAATACCGGCCGAACCTAGCAGAATACCGGCCAAACCTAGCAGAATACCGGCCAAACCTAGCAGAATACCGGCCAAACCTAGCAGAATACCGGCCGAACCTAGCAGAATACCGGCCGAACCTAGCAGAATACCGGCCGGACCTAGCAGAATACCGGCAGACCTAGCAGAATACCGGCCAAACTTAGCAGGATACCGGCCTAACCTAGCAGAATACCGGCCAAACCTAGCAGAATACCGGCCAACACTATTCAGTATCCCGTATTCCAACTACTGAATAAAATACCAGACCAAACCTGACAATTCATGTCATCGTGGCGCTGAATACCGGCCATTTCTTTCTATCACTTAGTCTATTAACATAAATTATATATAAACTTCGTCAATCCTTCGTGAATGAATTCACTGCCCCGAAGCTGCCCCGTCATTCATCATGAGTAATGATGACTCACCCCTGTTCACATGGCACTCAGCTTGTTCATCCCTCTGCAGCCAAACTCACCCCAGTCCCCATGGCAACTCAGCTTGTTCATCCCTCTGCAGCCAAACTCACCCCTGTCCTCATGGCAACTCTGCTTGTTCATCCCTCTGCAGCCAAACTCACCCCTGTCCTCATGGCAACTCAGCTTGTTCATCCCTCTGCAGCCAAACTCACCCCTGTCCTCATTCATGGCAACTCAGCCTGTTCATCCCTTTGCAGCCAAAATCACCCCTGTTCTCATGGCAACTCAGCTTGTTCATCCCTCTGCAGCCAAACTCACCCCTGTCCACATGGCAACTGATCTTGTTCATCCCTCTGCAGCCAAACTCACCCCTGTCCACATGGCAACTCATCCTGTTCACATGTGGGGCTCTGGTCTTGTTAAACGACGGTGTTCGTTTCAGAAGGGATCGAATTTGCAGCGGCCGATTATGGCCTAGCTCAGAGTGCCTGATGGGACTCTGAGGCGTCCCTAAGGCGACCCTGAAGTGACCCTTAGGCGACCCTGAGGTGTCCTTACCCTATCAAAATTTTTAGCTGGTGGCGAGCCTGAATTACCCTAACAAAATTCGGGGACCGCCTAAGCTTCGGCCGAATAGTCACTACACTCGGTGCAAAGTTATTCTGGGTCAGTTGGCCAACTGATCGCAATCAGCGTCTAGTCAGAAACTCCTGGCCGACTTTATGGTCTCCTGAGAGTAGGGCAAGAGTTGGCAGAATCCCCTCAGTCCCCTCACCAGGCTCTGGTAGCCGTCTGAATCGGGGATCGGAATGTAGACCAAAAAGCGGACATAGAGAAGCTGATTTACGTTCGGTCCGAGTCCTAGGCGGTCCCTAATTCAGGCTCGCCAGGCTCGCCAAATTTTGATAGGGTAGGAACCGCCTAGGACTCGGACCGAACGTAAATTAGCTTCTCTATATTATATAGTCCGCTTTTTGGTCTACATTCCGGTCCCCGAAAAAGACAGCTAGCAGAGCCTGGTGAGGGGACTGAGGGGATTCTGCCAACTCTTGCCCTACTCTCAGGAGACCATAAAGTCGGCCAGGAGGTTCTGACTAGTACGTCGCTGATTGCGATCAGGTGGCCAACTGACCCAGAATAACTCTTATGTGAACATAGCAACTATGGGGCAGAGGCTGAGGCATACCCCGAATTTTCTTAGGGTAATTAATTGATGGGACTCTGAGGCAACCCTGAGGCGACTCTAAGGCAACCCTGAGATGACCCTAAGGGGAGTCTGAACTGACCCTCAGGCGACCCCAAAGCGACCCAATCCGGGATGCAATCAAATGACCAAATTATTTTTTCAAGCAAAACAGTAGCTGGGATGCGCCCGGCGCATGAATGAAGCACGGCGTTTGACGCGCAAAAAACGCGCGTGCCGCGTGCTTGCAGGCGACCAGTTTTT